CTTCTCGAACTTCGTTTCACTCTGGGAACGGGTGGCAATGATGGTGAACGTGTATTTCCCAAGGACGCGGCCACCCGTTCCCAATTCCAGCTTCATCATTCACACGGCTGTTCGCAGCTCTCCCGCCCGGCCGTACCTCCTGCCGCTTCTCGGCACTTTCTGCGTGGACCTCCGCTGTTGGAGATGACGGCAAACCCCAAACAAGCAGGTCCACCTCGCCCCACCTCCGCACAGCCGTGGCTTAGCCCCACGCAGTGTTCATACCGTCTTGACCTGTGCATGCAAACGGCAACATCTGCCGCAGCTGGGAGAGCAACGGGGACCCCGTCACTGGCACGACGTCCCCCGTCCCAGCTGTTTCGTGCCTCTCAGCTAAGGCAGGATCCGGCTGTCCCACCTCTGCCTGCTCTTTACAGCATGCCATCCCTTCCTTCTGCTGCCGACTCTCCGTGGGACACCATTTCGTTCCCTCCCTGACCTTTTCCCCTTTGTTGGATGTCGTTGGGATCCCAAGAAAAAAGTAATCTACAAAGCAGGACCAGGGAGCGTGCAGTGGCAGACGCCTCATTTTCTCAGGGGACCAAAGGAAAAAAATCAAGAATCTTTAGCGGCAAAATTGGGTTTTTTTGTTGCAAGTTTGAAAAGTGAATTCTTGTAACCGGGAAATACTGCCAGAGAGCTCCCCAGGACCTCCACGCGTGGCTCTCCTCTGCACCTCGGCCCGCCTGGCTCGATTTTCAGCTCCCAGGTCTGAGGATAAGTTAATCATCGTGCGAAATGTAGTCAAAAACTTGGCCAAAAAAGAGGAGAGGGGCTACCAGACCTCCTTGCCACAACAGCCCAAACTGAAACAGACTGGATGTTCAGGTTTTTCTGCAACAAAGACAAACCCCAGAATTTTCCTCTTATTGAAGCACCTCCCAGAGGACAAAGAAAACCCTGTCAAGGGATCAGTTTTCTATTGATAACTGGTCTGAACGCAACATTTTCATCTAGCCACATCGCTGCAAGCATGAAGGATATATAGATACCACGGTTCAACTAAGAGAGCTTCAGCGTGTTCATTTGAGACCGGAGCAACACGTTAACTGGTCTTGCCCTCTTCTCCAGGAGGAGCGGAGCCAAGAGGGCTTTGGTGGCCAGTTGCTTCTCTTCTAGCAGGGGATAATCCAAGCCTATCTCACTTTAGGAGCACTGCGAAAGCATCGGAACAGATGTTCCTTTTCTGTATGGGAAAATGCCGAGTAAAACAAAGAAATATTCTCCTGCTGGAGTCCAACATCTGTTTGAAGCTGTCTGGCTCCGGTTCAGACTTTAATTCTTGTGACAGGTCTCTTCATGCCTTTAATTTCCCATGAAATCTAATTCAAGAAGTTGTTTGTCTGCAGCCTGCTCCCGGTGTTGGGGAGAGCGAGGCTGCATGCGATCCAGACGTTCCTCGCAGAAAACCGGTTTCTTGGAACAGCCTTTCTAAACAAAGCTACGTTTTGCCTCTTTTCAAATGACGGCCACGCACGTTTTCGGCGACACTCTAATCCTCTCAGTCCTGGATCTCACACAACCGCGCGACACGCTATCAGGATGCCATTAATTAAAGCATCGTGGCTGGTCCTCTTGGGTGCTGTTGCGGAGGAATTATACCCTATCCCAGCATTTACAAATTTGTTCTTTGAAAGCAAGAACTTTAAACAATTCTGTGTGTGGAACGGAAACGCCTGCTGAGTTCAGGGCTGTCTTGGGTGCGACAGTGAATAAAGATGCTCCAGGCACTTTCTCGTGCTCGGAGGCTTTGGTGGTGGCCACCAAGAAGCTGGTATGCAGGAGCTGGGTCTGCTGCAGGCTCCTCTCGCTGCTTGAGGCTCTCAACTAGCCGGGACCCCTTAGAGCAATGATTTCGGGAGCTACCGCCCAGCCGGGATGCTCTGAGCTGTGAATTTAAGCTGTCGCTTCCAGTCCAGAAGATGATCCTCAGCTGGATGGGAGACGCTGTGCTCCTGCTGGAGGCACCGTCACTGTTTGCAGAAGTCACCTGGAGCTTTCAGGAGGTCACAGGAGCCAGTGTTTGCCCCGAATGTGTCCCTGGTGCTCACGCAAGGGCTCGAGGCCGTGCTCTTGTCTGCACCCATAGCTGGGGGCACCGCTCAGCTGCACTTTTTTGGTAGTTCTGCCCAGCTCCGATATGGAAATAGGAATCCTCGAATCCAGGTGTCATCCGCTGGGGTTACAGATGCCAGCGTCATCCCGTGACACGCGCTCGTCTCACGCAACATCTGGTAAACGCGGACGCCATCTTCCTTAAGGACAAGACGCCAAGATGGTCCCTTTTCCCCTCTATCTGCGGATGGACATCTGCTGCTGCTCCAGCTTGATAAAAACACGTCCTCAGTGGCTTCTCACACCAGCTCGGCACTGGAAAGGAAAAGAGAAATGTCACGACAGGAGGCGAAGGCGTCATTTATCCCACCAAATGAGCAAAAACACCCACCAAACTGAGAGCCGGAGGGCCAGCAGCCGCAGGAAGGGCTCAGCACGCGCTCGTCTCACGCAACATCTGGTAAACGCGGACGCCATCTTCCTTAAGGACAAGACGCCAATATGGTCCCTTTTCCCCTCTATCTGCGGATGGACATCTGCTTGCTCCAGCTTGATAAAAACACGTCCTCAGTGGCTTCTCACACCAGCTCGGCACTGGAAAGGAAAAGAGAAATGTCGC